GTACTAGACTACAAGCGCTCACGGGCACAACTGTGCAAAGTCACCGTGGCAGCAGTGTCGGCGGGCACAGTCAAGAGTTTAGGAAAGTGGAGGGGATGCACGAGCAGAACCGAGTGTCGACAGAGAGGGATGATGGGTGCGCGCAGGGATAAACGTCAACACGAAACTTCGGTCAGAGCGCAGGGCTCATAACCTGATAAACTCGGGGCTGTGAAGACAAGGATTAGATCCGACTAGAGTCGAAGCAAGATCTTCAGTCAGTAAGGAAAGACTTTATTGCAGTAACCAACTGTACCTAGAGTCGAAGCAAGACTACAAAGGATCAAGTAAGTAACTACAAGTTAGAGGTAGATATAACGAAGTACTCACTCTTCAGTCAGTAAGGAAAGACTGAAGAGGGAGGACGCAATCTGAAGTCCTTATATACTACAGAGAAGTGTCCATGACTAATCGAAGAGTGGTTAGTCACATGTACCATAGTGCGATGAATAATACAATGGTGAAAGAATTGCGACGTATCGCACCATAGGATGAGCAAGAGATGAGTAAGGCATAGGCCTGTCTAGACCGTTCTGGAGTAGTACGGATTGTTCTAGACAGTACCAGAAGAGTCTGGAAGCATAGCTATAGTACACGAGCAGAGAGTCCCAAATATGGTAACATACTACATAAGCGACTACAGCTAAGCGCTAGGAGACGCATAGCCTCGTGTAGTCCGGACCGGATAAGTCCAAGTTCAACAGCCTGCCATGCCCTCGGTGCCCGTTCACCAGGGTGTTCCACGGGATGGGCATTGTGCTCCCAATAGGTGTCCCTGCCGTGCTGTTCCACCCGTCGATCGACATTCGTCCGTGTATGCTTGGTCGTGGGTTCATTAAGCCAGACTCAAGGACAGAGTGTGGGTGGTGGCCTCCAGGGAGAGCGTTGGGGTCGCGCTTGTGGGAAATCTCAAGAAGGTGAACGCCTCAGAAGGTGGCGATGAAGCCGGCGAGGAGGGAGATGGAGTTGGCGGGATCGTCCGTGTTGAAGCCTTGGAAGAGAATGACAGAGGCGACATTTGTCGCGGTGGAGAAGCCAACGTAGTACATCGGGTTCACGCTGAATGAAGTCAGCACATCAGTGGGGGAAGCCACAGTGGAAAGAGGGGAGGTTGATGGAGTGTGTGGCCCTCGTCCGAGGTCGGGCGGGCTTTGTGTTACTCACATCTACGGGAACGGACAGAGGCTCATGTTGCTCCCAGCCAGTGCTGGTCCATACCCGGGATGGAAACTTGTGGGCAAGGTCCTTCGGAACTCGATCGCACTGGGTAGGACGAGCAGCTCGTACATGGTGGATGAGAAGTGTTAGGAAAGTGAGCAGGGAAGGATATGGGAGTTCCCATGAGGAGGCCCGGTGAGCGTACGGAGTCTGTCGACGGGAGTGTGTAGCGAGTGGGGGCAACGAGAAATGAGGAGGTGAGGGCGAGGACGAGGATTCATGGAGCGCGAGTACATGTTTAGCGCGGCAACGTGGAGACACCTATATGCGTCACAAGCTCTTCACCTTCAGGCTACTCATAAGGAGTGTCCTCGTGCAAAAACGTCAAGCCCATCTTCCCTTCGCCACACTACCATCCCCTCTCTCTTATGAAGGTCAATGTCTCAAGAACCAGTGGGCAAGACAAAGATAGTCATTTTATGAGTTCCGCTACAATGCTCCACCACCGCCTGTGCTCGCCGCGGCAACTAGGCTCTGTACGTACGGATTCCGGGGGCATATATGCACCCCTTTACTCACATTTTCTCCATGCAGTCTTAGTGTTCCCTTGCCAGGGGCACTCTGACTCATAACCGCTCACAGTACACGGGTCTCTGTGACATTGTAATGCCTCGGTGGCGGGACCATGCTTCCGAATATTACGACACGAGCTACCCAGTCATCGACGACTCGGAGCTCGCGCAAGACGAGCAAACATTCTCTGCCCAAATAAAGCAGATGCGCTTCTATGTGTCAAGTGGACAGGTAACCTTAGTGAACAAGTATGTTCCCCTTCGTCCTCTGTTGTCCTATCCTCCGCGAGAACATTAGTAGCTCCCTGCAAGTCCTGTATGTGCCATATGGTGCGCATATACACGTGCCTGGGGTGTGTTCCACCAGGCATCACGCGAGAACAGAGCATCAGAGCTCAGCTGCCTAGACTATGTCTGTGGTGCGATGCATTACTGCATTGGTTTGGGTGGTCTCGCCTATCCTCGCCCGCGTAAGCGTCTTGTCGTTCTCATCCTCCATCTTTATCATCTGGGGAGACATGTCATTTTCACTATTACGACTGTTTAATTGCTCAACGAGGCCTGCCACATAGGCGGCCAAAACTTCGCTGGGTGAGCATGGTGTGATGCCGAAGACACCCCTTGTTGCGCTCCCCGTCTGACCTTTACCCTTTCTGCTCTGACCAAAGGCGATCACATCCGCGATCAAAGCGCCCTTGTCCGATGCGACGACCATCGTCGGCACTGCTGATGGGTGCATGCTCTCGTTCACGAACGAGTACAAGTATGTCTGCGGAGACGCGCACATGAGCCTTGTTGCTGGCCTCAGCGCATTCCCCTCGGGTATGGTGCACTCCGTCGGCTTTGACGACCGTCTGCGCACAGTTGACGGCCAGGCCTACACATAAGTCCTGACCCATCACTCTACTGTGCGGACGAGAGGATCACGGATGAACTCAACAGTTTTGGCAAGGCAGGCCTTCATCGTTCTCGACCGCCGCCCAGCTCAAGGCGGGCGTCGCGGTCAACGGCAACTCGACGGTGTTCGTTGTGGAAGTGGAGAGCGTTGAAGCTGTGCCGTCAAACCAGAAGGTGTTTGACCTCCCTCTCAAATACTCCCCAAGCGCGATCGCTGCGTCCGGCTTGCTCGTCGCCGTTGGCGGAGAGGTGCGTCCCCTCCTGCTCTTCTGTCTTCCTCGCTGAGAGATGGCATATCCGAACCTGGACCAAAAAGTGTGACTGTACAGTTGGGACGGGAAGGCGCTCTCGGAGAAGGTGATTACCCTTTCTCGGGCTATCTTCATCGTGTCTTGCCATTGGTACTCACACATCCTTCTGCAGATCATCAAACAAGCAGCCAAGTCTAATAATATCAACATCTTTGCCCCCTCTGCATCTATTTCTGCCACACTCTCTATCGCGACCCTCCCCCACACTCTATATCCACAACCGTCTCTGGTCCCTCATCTACCGCAGCATCAACGAACGGAAACGATCATGGTCAGGTGAAGATAGAAGACGGGTCAGGCTCGTGAGACCAGCTCATCACGCTGGAGGACAGGGAGGACAACGGGAAGCTGAAGCGGAAGCTGTCCGAGGGCGGGCAGACGTTCGTGAGCCTGCCAGAAGCAGGCACGAAGAAGCGCAGGAAGACGGTCAAGATCGTGAGTGTTGTGTGGTATAATCGTGTCGGGAGCGTGTCGCTGACGTCTGCTGTTTCTCCCTTTGTCTTTGTGCCCGCCGTGTCTCTGGCCTCGTCTACGGCTATGCCTGTGCCAATGTGCCATGACATGCATCGCAGTGCCCATTCCCTTGTGCGGTTGTCTTGTATGCCTTGTTTGTCAATATGTGTCTGCTTCTACAATATATCTTTCGCCTGTGTATCCTCCGAGTGTCGAGCCCTATAGCCCAACACCAAAAAATCCGAGGCAATGTGCCAGATATTTGGCAATATGTACAAGTTGTCCCCCTGTGCTGCCCGGCATTCTCAAGGATGCCCCCTTGCGCAACGCCCGCAATCCCGGGCAATATGAAAGGATACGGCACTCGATTGCCGACATTGCAAGCAGGTGCAACGCTCACAATACCAGGCAATACCGACAAGATCTTGCCAGTATTGCCTGGTATTTTCGGACATTGCCTGGTCTTCCAACCTAGTCAGGTTTATTGCGCTAGGATGGAAACCAGACAAGGTGCGCCCAACATTCCCCAAATGTTGCACGGTATTCCTATGATTGCCCGAGCAGGTGTGGGTAGGTTATATACAACAGGAATTTTACAGTTTTGCTGATGCAGGTCGCCGGAGTGGAGTTCGACATCAATCGTCACGTGGTGAACATGTGGAAAGTGGGTCAAAAATCCGGGATGTCCAAGACTCTCCAGAGAATACACGCTTCTCAAGGATTCCAAGTCCGGAGCTGATGTGAAAATCCGAGACATCAGGCGTTGCAGTGCGTCTTGATCTTGAGCCCATGGAGATAGTTGCAGCCTGACCTCTCGCACGGATGAGTGGATGAGAGCGAGACATCCTAGGTTGAGGGAAGAGGGTGCGCTGCTGTGTGTGCGAGCAAATCGGCCGATCAAGAAGACCGAGGTGAGTCGAGGTAATGCCGGTGCACCGTCCATCAAGGTCACAAGGTCTTGCCATATCGCTAACCGCGCAAACAGTTGGAACGGATATAAGCTGATCTTACGGACGTAAGCAGCATACTGGGAGAATTTTTTCCACTGCGGGTGAGCTCTTATATCCTGCTGGATGCGCAGGACCTGCGGCGTGAACGGAATTCAACAGCGGTGTTGCCATGGGACAAGGGGTTCACTCACAGCAACACGGTCTAAGGCGGACCTATCCTTAAGATCGACAGCCTCAGCCATTTCAAGGGTACACAGAAGCTCAGTTAGAGGCCGGTCACTGGGCAGAGATCTCCATAGAACCGTCAAAGCCGGATGAGCGAACGCTCTGCAAGACCGAGCCAAACGAGCTAGAGCTTGACGACAATGAGGCACGTCCGATTGCGCAGATTCGATGTCTACATGCAGATGTTCGAACACTTGATACACAATATCCTCTATGGTGTACCAGGGCTGAGTAGCCATGAGAAAGTACGAGACGTCCTCTGTGATGGATCGTTGCTGGGATGAAGGACGGCTGATTACAGGGTCGGGCGGCTCTGGCCTATGTAGTCGTAACTCCCTCAGCAAGTCCCTGGGTTACGTAAAGATGCCCGCATACATTGCAGCACAGTTACATCCTCTAGGAGCTGCTTCGTCAGAACGCTGCAGTCTCCGCTGTCGCGGCGACTAGGCGCGTAGACTCGGGTCGACGTTCGGCGACGACCCCGTAGGCGAGCGGCAAGGAGCCGAAAGGGGAAAGAGAGAGGGAGAGGGATAAACGTGACAGAAAGCTCGACGAGGGCAGAGCGGAGGTCGGCACGAAGGCACGAGACCTACGAAAGCTAGTCTTCACGCAGGCAGCGACAGACTAGTCCCAATGACCAAGTTATACATTAGCAATCGGAGGGAGATACAACGCTATGGTCACTCACCTAGTCCCAATGACCAAGAGGTCGAGATGGGGACTAGGAAGTGCCTAAGGGGGTCCTTATATACTAGAAGGGCTGCTTAGCAACCAAAGACAAGGCGCGAGAGCGAGGCAGTGAAGATGACAAAGGGAGAACAAAGGGCGGGAAGGAAAAGGCAAAGGCATGGCGATCACGGGAACGTAGCATGCGGGTGTGGGAACGTATCTGCAGTGTCCAAACTGGGATGGGGCTAAGAAAGGAAATGG